CTTTACCTATCCCACAATCAAATACTTTGTCGGCAATGCATGCGCAAACCTATTCTTCTGACGTCACTCACTAAAGCCTATTAACCCTTCACTCACCATCCGCTTGTTCTCGTTTCTCTCAAAGCCATCTTGTTTATGCTTCTCCCACCATCCATCCCCTTCATACCACCTTGTGAGGCTGCCTTGGTTGGTCCATCAGGCGGGCGTGTGTAGCCCCCAACTCATACCTTATACCTCTCCCTAACCTAACACCCGGGGCTCTACGACCTCCAAGGGTACATCTTTACTAATACTGGGATCCTAGACCCCAGATTAATCCACAACAATACTTGGGTTGACGACCCACTAACAAGCTATCAACCCAGGATCCACGATCCTCGGGGTACTCTTTCTCTATTCCTATCACTCGGGTTTACGACCCACTAGCGCCAGCAACTGAGGTAGCCCCCCATTGTCTCCAATGTAAATAAATTATGATATTATATTCCATTGTTTGTTGTTGTTTGCTGCAGAAAATGAAAGAGTTTTGACCAGTTTGCCACTTCACCACAAGTTGCGTATTTCCTATGTCATCATAGGTGTACTAGGAACCTCAAGGTTTCAACTTTTGGCATCTTCCTGTCAGCTATCAGCACCGTTTTAAACATGGGTAACAGAATCAAGCTCACCAAGGTTCCAGAATTGATAGCCTTACTGAGATCAAACAGGCTTGAAGATCAACAGAAAAAAATTCATTAGCCCCAGCCTGGGATCTGAATGTGGCTTTAACACCTCACCAGTGATAACCTTGTATAATCATGGGTGATCTAAATGGCCACAACCCACTCTGGGGTGGTACTAACACTAACACTAAAGGTAATATACTTGAAGATTTCATCTCTAATACTGGCCTATGTATATTTAATGATGACTCAAGCACTTATCAGCATCCTACAACTGGGACCTACCTACTCTTCTCTTGATTTGTCACTAGCTGATTCTAACCTTCTCAATGAATTTGTGGAAGTGACCATTTCCCAACTATCATTAAAACAAATCCATCTGATATTCCACCTTCAAGGAGATGGAATTTTACAAAGGCAAACTGACCTTTATTTCAAACATTATGCACAAACAAAATAAATCCTGATTGTTTCATTGATGTGGCTATTCAGCTTTTTTCTGACGTTTTAAATGAAATTGCCAATGAATGTATTCCAATGTCCTCTACATATCCACATATTTGTAAACCATGATTCAACACTGATTGTAAACAAGCTAGGAAAAAGGCAGAAAAATATTTCCGCCACCACCCAACTGTCCATAAATTAAATAGATATAAAATTTTAAATGAAAAAGCTTGTCGTACATTTAATCAGAATAAACGCCAATCTTGGCGAAACTATGTTTTGAAAAACAAATTTAGAACACCTATGTCTAAGGTTTGGAATATGGTGCAAAGGATTAAAGGTAAAGGTTCTTTGGTGACACATTATTACCTGCTAAATCTGATGAAGAGAGAAACATTAACTAAACATTTGTCCTCATCAAATTATACCCTAAAATTTCAGAAAGTTTGAAAAACAAGAAGAAAGAAAGAAAATTTCTTTTAATTCTGATAATGGTGAGGATTATAATGAAATCGTTTCCATTCATGAGCTGCATACGGCCTTAGGGCAAGCTCATAATATTGCTACAGGTTCTGATAATATCCATTATCAATTACTTAAACATTTACCTGATTCCTATTCAGAGACATAGTTAATTTTGTTTAATAAGATAACTGGACAATGGGTAATTTTCTTTCATCGTGGCGAAATGCTGTCATAATTCTAAAACTGTCTAAACCTGGCTGTGTTCATACTGATCCTTCAAATTATAGACCAATATCACTTACCAGCTGTGTTTACAAGACCATGGAAAGAATGGTAAATAACAGACTTAAATGGTATTCAGAAACAAATAATCTTTTAACAAATATTCAATGTGGTTTAAGAAAAATAGAAGTACCGTTGACCACTTGGTTAGACTGGAGACATTTGTGAAAAATGCTATCATTAATTAACAACATGCAGTATCAATATGTTTCGATTTTGAAAAAGCGTATGATACCACCATGAAACATGGCATTTTGAAAGATCTTCATTAAATTGGATTGAGAGGGCGTTTGCCTAATTTTGTATCTCAGTTTTTAACAGATAGACATTTCCAGGTTCTTGTGGGATGCACCTTGTCTGTTTTTTATGATCAAGATGAAGGTATCCCACAAGGTAGCATATTATAGGTAACATTGTTTAGCATATAAATTAATAGTTTTTCTAAGGTTTTTAATGACAGTTGACGGGTCTTTGTTTGTCAATGATTTTAATGGATCACGTCAAATTAAAAATATGCACACCGTTGAGAGACAGTTGCAACTTTGTCTGAATAAAATCAATAAATGGGCAGAGTGTAACGGCTTTAAGTTTTTTAAATCTAAAACAAATTGCATTCATTTCTGTCGAAAATATAAACCACATAGGGACACAGATTTGTCTGAAGGCACTGGATTAATTATAAGTTGTTTCTAATTCCAATTTGGGAGGGGACCAGTCAACCCTCCTTCACTTATATAGATCACTTGTCCGTTCTAGACTCAATTATGGCTCCATCATCTACGGTGGAGCTTGTAAAAGTAACCACAAGTAAAGCCACAAGTGGATCTCATTGACCAAATAAAAGAAATCAGAAACAAATCAATTACAGTACCAACAAGTATAAAATAAGTTAAGAAATACATGCAATACTTATAAATCAATATTTACAGATGGATCCAAGGATGGTGACGCTGTTGCCAGTGCCACTGTCGTTGGATCCAAAACTCTATCAACTAGATTACCAGGTAACTCTTCCATTTTTACAGCTGATTCAAAGGCCATTTTAACATATGAAACTGTCTAAACATCAGCAATTCATTATTATTTCAGACTCTCTGTCCTGTCTTCAGGCTATTAAAAATAATTTGTGTCAGCATCCACTTTTACTCGACATCATTGAATTATCCTTGCTACAGGCCAATACGACATCGTCTTTTGCTGGTTACCCATGTTGGAATTGTTGATAATACAATGGTTAATGCTGCAGCTAAAGCAGCACTCAATGATTCTCTGACACCACTTCTAATTCCATACAGCGATTATAAACCTGTGATCAGATGTTACATCCGAGATCCAATGCAAAAGAAGTTGGACACCCAAGTAGGTATCAATAAATTACATTAAATTAAACCAACTTTCAGTTACACGGCCTACTTGGGTTGTCAGTCCAGATTTGAAGAGGTTGTAATCTGGCGATGTGGTTTTGGCCACAGCAGATATACTCATGAATATTTATTGAAAGGTGAGGATCCTCAATTTTGCATCCCTTGTGATGAGAGAATTACGGTCAAGCATGTCCTGCTTGACTGTGTTGAATTTGCCATCACAAGGGATAAATATTTCAAATCATCATCTGTCAAGGATCTTTTTAATTGTGTTAATTCTCATTTAATTATTGTTTTTTTAAAAGAAATAGAATTATTAGATATATTTTGAAACATATGTTTTGTAATTGATCAATGAGCTTTTAAGACTTGGTAGAAGGAAATTAGTTAACTTGGATTGTTAGTGGCTGTAACCTTGATGGGGCTTGAAGTAGTGTAAAATGATAATCCCCCAGAGAGGGTATGTAAGACCACATCCTTCAATGTAATTTTTCTCTGCCACATTTTTAATCGTAGAATATGTGTTCATTTAACTTTTGCTAAATTTGACAATAATTGCCAAAACCTAAAGGGATGATGTAAATCCGGCTTGGGTCCATGCAGGTAGCAAAGGTACTGTACCCTGATCCACCTTCAGCTGCTGGCGATCTATAGCCCTTTTTTATTATCCCCGGACATATAGTGATATCTCTTTTTGGTTGTATGCTAGTTTTAAATATTAATCTGTGATTTTTTAGTTATTTTACTGTGCATCAATTTCATCTTAATATCTGTATTCTTAACATACAACTTCACGTCACGATATGGCTGAAACATTGCCGATTTGACGTTAAATATTAATTCACTCACTCACTCACGCACTCGCAATATCCACTGACAACATCACGGTGGTATGATGCCTACACTTCAAGAAACAACAAACTCCCTCTTTCTTCTACAACATACGTTCAGGTTCTTTCATGTCGTGGATCGTCTGAGACTACAATTTATTGTCGAGCACATCCCCGGACGTTGGAACATCCTGGCTGCCTTATCCTGGCCAGACAGGGTGGCTGCCACAGAGTGGAAACTTCACTCAGACGCATTCCAACTGGTACTTCATCACTTCGGGAAACCAAACATCGACCTGTTTGCGACTTATCAGACGTACCAACTTATGACGTATGTCTCCCCGCTGCCGGATCCACATGCTTGGTCAGTGGTACTTCGAGGTTTTGCACGGGCCCCCCTATGAGCCCCTCAATGCATCCTCATTTTTTTACCTCACCAAGAAAACAATTTTTCTCTTGTCTTTAGCCACTGCGGCATGGGTCAGCGAGTTACACACACTTGATATCACCTGTGTCCGTTTTGAGCATGGTATGCAGGGAGCGGTACACCTCGGGTTGTGCTGGGGTTTCATAGAGAAAAATCAACTTCCAGGCCAACCCGATCTTTCCTTGCAGCATTCTGCTAATCTCGACAAATGTGGGGGTCGAAGATGAGGTGAACTCCTCTTGTGCATTCAATGACCGAAGATAGTCGCAACACCATGTATATATGGTTACATGCAGTCATCCTGCAGGCTTATGAGATTGCTAAACTTGATCCACAAAAATGGAACAACCCTCACAAGATCAGGGCATGTAGCCTGTACCATGGCTCTACACAGCAATTGTTCTCTTAGAGCAATAGAAGGATGTTTTTGGAGGTCCGACACAGTTTTCGGTACATTTTAAAAACCTTTTAGATTATAAAACATATTAAAAATATAAAATTTAGTCCAGTCTTGTTGTTTCAGCCCCTGAGTCTGTTAAGCTGGAGACAACAGGAGACTTGTCCTATTTCTACAAACAGGAGGAGGTAAGGAAACAGTTTCTTGGCTCAACTCGCGATTTGTTCAGTTGAACAAACATCTCTAAAAATTGAAAATATGTGATGATACCCAAAGTAGAAAAGTATTATAATAATGTCCGAAACAATTATTCAAGACCAAAATAATCAGATCATGAAAAAAAATCAAAATAATTGCAATTATATCCATCATAGCTGATGCAACAATGAAAATAGTCTGTTACCTTACTGATATGTTTGAACTTATTCTGCATTACTCCTTCATGCTTTTACTGCTTGTTCTTGACAGAAAGGAAAGCAGTGTGAGGTCTTGCTGAAGAAGACATTGTTCCAACTAGTTGTGTGGCTAACTCTATCAGACAGCTCCAACATGGCCACAGAAATGATGACGTCACTGAACAGCACATAACTGCTGTCACCCATAGAGAACAGTCCACCTGACTTGAGCTCTCAGCTTTATCCATTTGAATCCTTTGCGTGTTATTACAACACTATTGTTTCTTGTGAATTATATCCTTCTTTTTGTTTGTGTCTTCTTTTAGTACATATGATTTTTACCATTGTATGAATATTGAACACTTGGTAGTGGTGTTTTGTTGCGGTAAATATCAGGCGAATTTGAGTGGTCATATTTTTTCATGTCATGCGTTTTCTTTGTTTGCTTGGTACTTCAAGTTATTGTTGTACCTATGCTATGTTATCATTATTAAAGTGTTTTCTTCACATTCCTTGCGTAAGCTTATCCTTAATAACCAATGTTGTTGGGATTAAGATAATAGCATACACAACTGGGTTGCAAATGCATTGTGATTACACCTCTGCTTCATTTCAGATAGATGCCATGTTGTTCCAGGATAATAAGTAATAATGTGTGGGATCCTCATCCTTTGTGTTTAAACTGGACAGATATCTGTTCGCTCCCCCACAACGTTCTCCATGTACCTTCAGGTTTCCCGTAAAAGGCGGACACAACAGGCACATAAACCTTCACTCAGGAAGATGTCAGACTCCTCTGAGCCCACAATACCCCCACCAGTCACGACAATCTCTTCTTCAAGGGGAAAGGTCCCGGCATCTACTCCTCATAGTTCAGCTTCGGCTGAGAATGTCTCTACAACCACCTCGCCTCCTCAGGTCCACCGTTCTCTTCAATAGTGGCTGTTGAAGATGAACAGGAGCTTCTACTATGTCCAGTGTGTGCACTGAGTTGTTTTATGCCGCAACATGATTGCTCTTTGGCTACGCGCCCTCATTTTACAGGCTTATGAGGCTACTGGACTGAATCCTCCTAGAGCCAACAACCCTCATGAGATTAGAGCAGTTGCCTTTCCACAATAGCACTTCACAGCCACTTCTCCATCCAGGCCATTATGGTAGGCTGCTTCTGGTGCTTGGGACACTTTCTTCGCCAGCCAACTATCTGTGAGACGTCACCTTGGAGGACGTGGAAGTTCCACAGATCAAAGTGCCATTGACTCTTCCCCATGTCCCAAACCGACCTTTTGACCTCACTGCTGCGTGTCACCCTTGACCAGAAGGTTTCTATGCTACTTGCTTTGGTTTGGTACATCAGTTTTAAACTTTAGCTTACACTTAATTTCAATTACGAGCACCTTTTCCAGTGTCTCTTCAGGTGCCACATAAGGCGCTTCTGCAAGCATCTTTACAAGCATCTTTGCCAGAGTCTCTACAGGCACCTCTACAAGCATTGCTACAAGTGCCTCTGCCTAGTGTGGATTTAGGTGGAACCTGGATCTGACTTTCATCACGCCTTGGTGGCCAGCAAGAGGCTGGTTCGTGGATCTCAAGGAGATGTCCAGCACCGACCCACTTGAACACTCAGACTAGCCAAATCTACTGATCCACCCTCACAGCAAATGGCCCCATCAGGCTCCAGACAGGTTACATCTTCATACCTGGTCAATTACCCTGGCACATGGACCAAAGGAGCCAAAATTTTACTATTTTTCCGTCACAAGCATCATCTGAAGGGCAAGCACCATCACGACCTAACTTGTGACCTTCAACTCGGTCTTAGCAGATCCAGCATTTTGAAAGATGACTAAGATTCTGGAATTTCAAGCTTTACTATGCTCCTTCCTTCTGAAAGACCAAAAGGCCAAGTTTCGACCCCCAGAGTTGGATCTGAACGTGGTACTTACCTTGCTGAGAGACATGCCCTTTGAGCAATTCCACTCCGCATCGTACTATAACCTCACCAAGAAGATGGTCTTCCTCTTGACTGGCTACAGCGAATGAGTAAGTAAACTACATGCTTTATACGTTACATGTGTCCGTTTTGAGGGCGGAGTGCATGGAGCTGTTCATCATGTTCGGTGTTGTGCTGGGATTTCATAGCCAAGAATCAACTCCCAGGACAGCCTGACAGATCCTTTACTCATCCCTCCCCTATCTTCAATAATGGGGGCTGAGGATGAACAGGAACTCTTACTATGTCCAGTGAGGGCGCTGCAATGCTTCATTTGAAGCTCCGAGAATCGTTGTGGACAAAGTCGCCACCTCTTCATCCTGGTATCGACGAAGTCAGATGCAACATGTTCGCCCAATGGCTCCGCGCCATAGTTCTTTAGGCTGTGGGACTGGATCCCCAGAGAGCCACCACGAGATCCGGTCAGTCGACTCAACCATGGCACTTCTCAGCAACTGCTCCATACACACATCATGGAAGGTTGCTTCTGCTGATCAGACACTGTCTTTGTCAGCCACTACTTTCGAGATGTTGCCCTAGAAGATGTGGAAGATGTACACAGCTTTGGCCCTTTGGTGGCTGAACAGCAAGTCATCGCCACAAGATGACATTGACGTTTCCACATGTACAGAGCCGGACTTGTGACCTCTGGGGTGCGTGTCACCCCAGATTAGAAGGCTACATGCTACAAGCATTAGGCTCGATACGTCAGTTCTAGACTCTAATTTCATTTAACTTCTATGATTGCATCAATACTTGGACTTCACCTTTACCTAACTTTCTCCTTACCCGTCAACAGGAATGGTCACTTGATGATGGACATTGCTATTCCTGATAGGTTGGAGTTTGGAGAATTTCATTGAAGATCATATCTGAAGGTATAAACTCCACCTTTCCGTCAGATGCATTGAGGAGTAATGCAGGATAACTTAAAAAATCTAGTAAATCCTAGATATTTATATTTGTATACTCATCCTGCATTAGTGCGTCTAAAGTGGCCAACCCGTCACAGAGATGCCTCCCCACGATGCCTTAAGATTGCTCTGTTTTTAGCCACTCAGCTAGTTGGAACAACTTCTTCTTCAGCAAGTACAAGCAGTTAATGCATTAAGGAGTAATGCAGGATAAGTATGTATACAAATGTAAAAAATGTAAAGGATTTTACTAGGTCTCCCAGGCTTCTTTCTCAGATGTAACATTGTGTATTTCTGCAACAACATCTGATGTCATATATTTATACATGTAATGTAATAACCTCAAAAGCTTGTTTATGATCACCGTTAGCTTTGTCAGTGAATTATATTCACATGTTTTATGCAAAGCTGATGACATGTCATAGTATTTCTTTCTGAGTTCTTTCTGAGGCTCATTGAAAAATTCTTCCTTACTCAGTCTGTCACTGTCACTCACTCTGTGGTTGTGGTGGTTCTGCAATACTGCTGTCATTCGAAGCAGAAACATCTTTTGCATTATCAGATAATGGCTTTGGCTGTGTTGACGATGAAAAGAAATTTAAAATTGATTCATCTCTGAGCATTTTTCCGACTGTCTTCTCTCGGATTTAGCTGTTCGGCCATAGTTTATTTATTTATTTTTCTATCACATTTTCTATCATATTTTATATTTCAATTTCATACATAGTTTGCATGGATTAGTTGTTACAATAAGCATAATTATTGTAGAGAGATATAGTTGATTACATTTAGGCCATAGGCCAAATTAAAAAATAATAACAAAAATGCATTATGCGAATGTTTGTAGCATTGACAGATCATATATCATAGTTTATACAGAGTTTCTAAATAATAAATGTAAAGAGAGCCAGAAAGCATGGAAACATGCATAATTACAATTGAATATGCAATAAATTTAAAGGTTTAATAGTTATGGTGAAGAACCAACTACCACTAGTCAAAAAAATGGAAGCCAAACAAACAAAACCAACAATTGTGAAAGTGTATTTCATTTTATTTATCAACATAATCACCTTGCTTTTCAATACACTTCTCATATCAATAGTGAAGCTTTTCAATTACAGTCAGGAAGAAGTTTTCTGAAATATTTCCTTTCACTTCAGCTCTGAGATGATCGTAGTCACCATAGCGCTTTCCACGAAGGTGATCTTTCAGTTTAGGAAACAGGTGGAAATCATTTGGTGCTAGGTCTGGCGAGTGTGGAGAGTGAGGAAGCTCTGTGAATCCAGATTGCTGAACAGCAGCCTTTGCGAGTTGACAGGTGCAAGAAGTGGCATTGTGATGAAGTAGTAGAACTCCAGCAGTCAGCATTCCTCACCGCTTTTCTTTCATAGTATCTCTCAGGTGAAGCAAACCAGCATAGTATTCACTGGTAATAGTCTTTTGACTTTCTAAGTAATCAACAAGGATCACACCCTTTGTATCCCAAAATACAGTGGCCATAACTTTCTTCACTGATCTTGAAGACTTGAATTTCTTCAGTGCTGGGGAAGTGGAATGGTGCCATTCCATGGATTGACGTTTTGACTCGGGGATCATAGTGGTAGACACCTGTTACTAATCTCTTTTTGAATTTTATGAAATCCTCCTTAATAAGCTCTAAAATTTCTCTGGTAATGTCAGTTCCTTTTTCCTTAAGATCAGAATTTAGAAACTTTGGCACCCAACGAGGAGATATCTTATTCATCTGTAAATGTTCATGAATAATAGTTTCAATGCATCCATGGCTTAGACCTGTGTATTCCTCAAGTTCAGCAATGGTAATACGTCTCTCTGACAGTATAAGTTTTTCAATCTCCTTGATTGAATCTTCATTGATGGAAGTT